GGAGGGGGGCTGGCAAAAACACCCCCTTCCGTCCCCCATGAGAGGTCATTTGGAGGTACGGTTCTCAAATCAGGAGAAGTTTCCTCTGGGCAGAATGAAAGTCTGTCACACAGATGGATGGACAGAAGGCATCCTGTCCATCTGAGGTCAAGAGGGATGAAAAACTCTTCCTGCTTTGGACACCAGCGGAACACCAGAGGGGCCGCCCTCCTTGGAATTCCAGCATTCCTTCAACAGCGGGAGAGGACATTAGCCCCAGGGGAAGGGCGTGTTGAAGGGAAGGCCTGCGGGCAGGATCCAGGGCTCTTTGGAATGGAGCGTAGACTGGAGGATCCTCTGGCATTGCGGGGGTGGGGTGCCGTCCACGCAGCCCAGAGCTCCGGAGGAACAGCAGCTGTGTGTTCACTGCTGTCATCTGCTGGGAAGGGGGTAACCCGAATGCCGTCTCATGGTGGAGGTGTTCTGGGATGTAGTCTTTCTGTGCAGTTAAGCAGACTATTCCTTGGCTGATTTCTATGACATGCACGCACTGATGTTTCTTGTGTGCCAGATGCCTGGTGATGTTAACCCCTGTAATCCTCAGAACAGCCGTGGGAGGTGAGCACAGGCAGGCCCGTATCCGGGGTCAGTGGCCGGGAGAAGAGCATCAGCACACTCTGAGCTCACCTCCACGGGCACCTTTCTAAGGACATGGCGATATTCTGCATTGATCAGATGTTGAGGACTAGGACTGGACTGTGGTGTCAAATTGGGTTTCTCAATTTGGGGACAAGAAGGAGGGGAGGAAGAGCAGGCCAGGTGCTGGGCCTGTGCTCACAAGCTGGCCACAGCCCTGTCAGAGAGCTCCTTTATGAAGAGGATGCACTTGGGGGACGGATGCCTTTCCCGAGACCCAGAGCTGGCCAGTGGCCAGGGCAGAATTTGAGCCCTGGTGTGTGTGATTTGGAGCCCTGGCCCTTTCTCCTCTGTGTACTTCCTGTAGGTCCAGCTGCCCAGCACTTCCACCTGTGCAGGCAGGTGCCTTTCCTGTCACCCTGGCCTCTGCCACCTGGATGTGCTGGGTTGAGGCCTGGTTTCCACTAGAGCTGTTACAGCAGTTCTTAGTTTCACACATTATGTTCCATCAAAATTCACGGTGTTACCATTCCTTATATGAAAATACCAGTTGTTTTGTCCCACCTGATGACTGCCTGTTGCAGCACACGCAGGTGGGTACCACAGTCTCTGCTCCCAAGGTGTTCGTAGGACAATGGGGCCGACAGGAAGCCAGCAGTTCCCGCAGCAGGTGCCATTGTGTGGTCAGAGTAACCATGGGACTTCTGTGAGGCAGAGAGTGGGGGTGCACAGTCAGAGGGCCCAGTGGACAGGGCCACTGGGATGGTTAGGCAGCATGCTAGATAGCAGGGTACTGGGCAAGGGGGTGGGCTTCTCAGCTGGACGGGCTGCCTACCTTGCTGGTAAGGAGTAAGGCCCCTGAGGCAGGTGGAGACATAGCCTGGGCGGCTTCCCATGCCCACTGGCAGCCATGTGGCTCGGGGAGCTGGCAGAAGTGGGGGTGGGAGTGGGGCCTGTCAAGAAGGATCAGCACAGGTGCAGTTAGAGAACTGCAGAGCTCAGTTGGGAAGGGAAGACTGGGTTCCCCAGTTTCCATTCCGAGCCATTGGTGGGCAGAGGTTGCAGAGTGTCTCCTTGGTATGTCATCACCACTGTCTGCTCAGCAGGATCAGGACAGGAAGGACCATCTCGAACTCCCTGGCCGGAGCTCACAGGGCCTGAGTGATGGATCAGGTCTTCCTCCAGGAGACTCAGGTCTAAACCAGATACCAGTCAAAACCTGACTGGGCACAGGTGTAGCCATGGCGACCAGGAGAGAGCTACCCCCAGGGAGCTTGTGGAGCTCTAGCCCAGCAAGAGGCTGTGTTTTGAGCCAGTGCTCCCTCTGTCTTCTCAGAGGGCTGGTCATGCCCAGGCAGTGGCCGCCAGACAGACCCCTTCTGTTAGGGCACAAAGGCCTCCCTGACAGCCTCGGGTTTGGGGGTGGCTGCCTCGGTATTGGAAGTATGGCAGGACGGCGGTTTGGAATCAGCCCTTGTGAGCTGACACTGGCTTTGCTCCTCGACCTCCCCGGCTGGGCTGGCCCTCTTCTTCCTGGCACTGACCTCAGCCTTGCTCATGTTGGGGCGGAGCTCCCTGAGATGTGCTCTTTCTTCTCAGTTGTTTCCCTGAGGCTGAAACCCCCGCCCTGTGTTTGGGCCTGTTCCCTTGTACATAGTTTGCCTTTGTTTAGTGACAGCCACTCAAAGAGTTTGGTTTCCTGGAGATGGTGGCTGAGGACAGGCCATCCAAGTGTAGCTGCTCTTGCAGGCATTCTGGGGACAGCGTTAAAGCCCAGATCAAGGAGAGCAGAGGGGACTTTAGTGAGCAGCTGGTCCTGCTGTGTCCAGCCTGTGTAGGGGCTGCTCCAAGTGTGTGACTGGGTGCCCATGACAGTCTCACAGGTGCGTTGGTCCTCTGTCCGGAAGGAGGGACACCAACCTGAGCACACATGTGAAATGCCAGCGACCTGCAGTCAGAACCCAGATAAGAGATCAGCGCTTGAAATGACAAAATGCTGAGATGACCAGAAAGGACAGGCGCTCTCCTTTGGGGCACCATGGGGCTGGTAACAGGGAGAACTGTGTGTGGTATTTGTTGCTTCATCCTCTGTTTATGGAGCATGATCTGCAGAGTAGAAATAGGAGCAAAAATATTTTTAAAATATATGAATTGCAGAACTGAAAACAGTTCTCAGGGCCCCTGTTAATTCTTCAGCCAGCAAACATGCAGGGTCTGTTTGGGCAGGTGCTGCAGATGATAGTGGTGGGGGACATGTGCGTCACATGGACCTGCTGCCGCCGTGCAGAGCCCTGGTGCCTGGCCAAGAGACGGCCTTCCTCCTTGGCTCTGTGCCTGTGCAGCCCTCTTCGTGGCCTACAGGCAGAACCAGATGTTTATCCCAGTCCCACTTCCTGTTGCCAAGGAGTATGTTCTAGCTTGTCAAGACAGGCCTGTTTGTGGTCTCTGTCGTCAGTGCTCCTCAGGCTGCTGCCCACATCGTCCACATCACCTGTGATGTTGCCCTGACCAGGACAGGGCTGGGCACTTCCTCCTGCAGATAGCCTGACATCTGGTGCCTTTGGGCCTGGGCCCCCCACCTCAAAGCTGTTATGTTGGTGTCTGTGTCTTTCTCTGTGGATGTGCCAAGCATCTTTGCTGCAGTCAAGATGCACAGTGTCTGAGTGGGGCCTTCGGGTCTGCTGAGTATCAGGAGTGGCTGCCTACAGCTCGGGAGGGGTGCGTCTAGCCGGCTCGGAGCCTGGCTTAGCCCGTGGCGGTCCCTGCTCGTGGGCACAGAGCCCACCTGTGTGACGGAGTCCGCTTTCAGAGCCCTCAGCATCCCTCACTGCCTTTCTGCTTCGCACCTTGGCTCTTGGCTCCACCCTGTACCCACGGTCTCCCATTTCCCCTGGCCAGCTTCCAGGCTGTCTCACTGCCGGCAGGTGCCCTCTTGCCATGACCCCTGTTTTCCTCTGGGTCTTCCTGCTGGTCCATGGCTCTGTGGCTGGTCTGCAGCTCTGGGCAAGTCTCTCTGTGGGAGGGTTTGCTTCTCTCTGCTGTCGGGAGGGGGACGGGAACAGGCGTGGTCCTGAGGGGCACAGGTGAGGCACCCTTCTGGAAGTGAGTCTGCCTGGTCACTTCTCTTGTCAGAAATGCTCAGGTACTTAGAAGCTACTAGGATGTCCGTCGAGCTCCACATGAGGAGTGCCCGCCCGCGAGGCGGTCGTCATTGCTCTTGCCTCTCTTGTGCCCTGGTCCCATTTCCCCTCTGCGCATGTCCCACTCTGGGTGCCTTGCCAGCTCCGTGCAGGCTTGAGGAAGGAGGTGCGTGTGGGGACTCTGATGAATCAAGTGTTGAATGAGTTGTCTAGCAGTGAGGTAGGTCAGCATTATTTTTCTTTATGCAATAATGCAGATTTGTCCATCTCTTAACATTTAGCCTCCTTTCTGGGATTTCCTGAAAGAGCAGAGATATGATCCCACAGCCCTATGTGTGCACTCTGTCCATACTCTGGGGTTTGTTTGGGGCGGTCAGAAAGCTTTCTAGCACCAGATGGACTGGGCTTGTTAATTCACTTGGGGCGAGGCAGCAGAGCCCTGGCATGCTTGTTAATCGTTTATCCGCAGGCCCAGCGCTGGGAAGACAGGCGGGGAGGAGACCCATCCTGTGGGAAGAAGGCGGACTGTGAGCAGACAGGCCAGGCCTCCGGACTGGACCTGATGGGCCCTTTCCTTTCCAGCAGAGGCACGCGTGTTCTTAGCTTTGTGTGGGACATGTGTACTTCCATTCAAAGGGGCTCAAGCTCATTCACCCCATGTGCGTGGCTCTGTCCCAGCAGAGCACCGTGATGAAAACTTGCACTAGGATTCTGTCTCTGACTGGACAGTGTCGGCAAATGTGTTTTCAAGGTGTTTCCATGTTTGTGCAGTCTGTTAGTCTCCTCCTGCCCTCAGCTAGAGGCTGTTGAAGTGGAGCTTGTCTCTTTGGTCCCACACAGGGACCTTTGCATTGGGAGGGACTGAGATATGACTTCTATGGCCCCTTCATTTTACATGGAGGAGACCAGAGCCAGGGTCTCATTGCTCTTAGTGCCGGAGCTGGGCGGGGACCCGGGCCACACAGAGGGCGCGGTCTTCTCAGCTGCCTGATGTGCGCTTGGTTCTGTGCTGTTGGAAGTGGCCCCCTGGGCCTGGCCTCCCTGTCCTCTCAGGCCAGGATCTGGCTGCTTTCCTTCATTGTTGTGGCTCTGCCCTGCCCTCTTACTCCAGCTTTCCAGGCTGATTTGCTGGAGGACAGTGCCCTTCCACCCAGGGGCACCTGCTGTGCAGGCCCACAGGCCAGGACCCTGGCAGGAGCAGACTTGGAGACGTGTGTCAACACCTCTTCTCATTTTATGTTGCAGCGAGGATGCCATGAGAAAAGCTGGCGTGGCCCACAGTAAATCCAGCAAGGATATGGAGAGCCATGTGTTCCTGAAGGCCAAGACGCGGGTAAGGCCCTGGTGGGCAGAACCCTGAGCGGGGAGCCCAGGAAGGGGAGGTGTGCTGGAGACTCTGGGGGTCCTCTGCCCGGGAAGTTGGAACGGGCGGCTGCTTGCATACTGGTCACGGGCATCGTTGGCTTCGTCTGCAGCATCTTGGTGCTTCCTGCGTGTCTGTGGTCCAGGTACAGGGAGGGTGCTGCCCAGACGCCCAGAACGTGGGCCCAGCCTCTCACCCCATACCCCACTGCTGGCACCGCCCATTCATGGTCGGTTCCCAGGGATCTTGGGGGGCGCTCACGGGGGGCGTTCATTCAGGCTGCGACTGTTTCTATGGAAGGGATGACTGCTCTGGGTGAGCACTGTTTCTGTCCCCAGCCTCAGCCCTTCCAGTGGGTTCTCACTGCAGCCCCACAGGGCATTGACTCATGGGCCCAAAGGGTTCCTTTTCCCCTTTACTAAGTGAGGAAGGTTGGTGCTCATGGAGTGTGAGGCCTTGAGTGAGGACCCAGACCGAGGAAGGGCCCGGGCGGAGTGACTGGGGAGGATCCCCACTGTGGAAGCCCTTGCTCTTGCCCCGGGCCGGGTACCATGGGCTTTGTGTGACCACGTCCTTTCACCCCTTGCATCTCTGCAGTCCCCCTGAGGCAAGCTGTTTTTGTAAAAATGATTCAGAGCAGGCACAAAGAAGCCAAGCAGCTTGTCTAAGGTTACCCAGTTCGTGCCAGGTGGGGCTAATGCCCAGGGCTTTTATTCCACAGCACACCTGCCCCACCCCGCTGCAGGTCCTAACCATGCACTGTCCACTGCCCTGCGTTTCCAGGGAGCACCTTGTGCCTGAGTAAGACATTGGAGCTCTACCACACGTGTGGGTCAAGAATCAAAAGCAGGTGCCATTTGTGGCCCTTGAAGGGCTGCTGGTGTGGATAAGCCAACTGTCAAGACATACGGAGGTCAGCTGGGGAAATGTGAATGTGGTCTGAGTGTTTAGATGAGGTGAGCATATTTGAAATTCAAAGATAGATCCTGGCCACAGAAAGCATGTTCCAGAACTGAAGCTGTCTATACAATCTGATCTTGGAGGTCAGCAACGACTGTGTTTGTGAGCACATTTAAGCGCAGGGAAGACCTCAGAGCACACGTAACGTACTGAGGTGGGCAGGGAGGCTCTGTGCCCTGGATGTAGATGATAAACATTTTTTTTTCTTTTAATGACAACCATGTTGAGATCTACTTCATATGCTATGCAGTTCACCCATTTAAAGTGTACAATGCTGCAGTCATTAAGGATCTTCCCAGAGTTGTGCAGCCATCACCACAAACTAACTTTTAGAACATTCTCCGAAAGAAACTGTGCTTGTTAGCTGACATCCCACCCATTTGTCCATTTTCCCTTAACCTTCAGCCCTAGAATGACCACTTACTTGTTTTCTGTTGCTATAGATTTGCCTTTTCTGAACTTTACATATAAATGCAATCATATAGTATGTTTTTGCAGCTGTCTTCTTTCCTTTAGCATAATATATATTTTCAAGGTTCATCCATGAGCTATCTTGGAGCATCTACTTTATTACTTTTTATTGTTGAATAACATTTTATTGTCTTTATAACACACTTACCCATTCATCAATTGGTGGGCATTTGAATTGTTTCCACTTTTTGGCTATTATGAGTGGTGCTGCCATAAAGTTTTGTGTACAAGCTTTCCTGTGGGCATAGGTTTTCATTTCTCTTAGGTGTATGCCTAGGAGTGAGTTGCTGATCATTTGGTAACTCTTTAACCTTTTAAGGAACCGCCAGGTTTTTCTCCAAAGCAGCTGCATCATTTTACATTCCCATCAACAGAGTGTGAGGTTCCAATTTCTCACTGTCTCATCAACACCTGTTATTGTCTGTCTTTTTTATTATAGTCATCATAGAATGTGAGGTAGTAGCTCATTATGGTTTTGACTTAGATTTCCATGGTAACTAATGATACAGAGTTTCTCTTCATGTACTTATTGGTCATTTGTGTATTTTTTTTGCAGGAATATCTGTTTAGATCCTTTGCTCATTTTATAATTGTTTTCTTGGTTTTTTTTATTTTTAGATCATAAGAGTTCTTTATGTATTTAAGATACAAGATATTTTATTAGATGTAGTTAATACTTGGAGAATGGGATGTTTTTGTTAGCTTGTATTTTCTTATAATTAAAAAAATTTTTGAGGGCTTATTAAACTGTTTCAGCTTTTGAAATGCAGAACTTGTTTTTTCAGTATTGATTGTTTCCTAATTAACTACCCCAAAACTTGCTGACCTAAAAAAGCACTGAGTACTTTCTTCTGATTCTGTGGGTCAGTTGGAACTGTCTGCCTGGCTATCCTTGTGGTCTTGCTTGTGACCTCTCATGCGACTATAGTCAGCTGCCCCCTTTTTTGGACTGGAGGGTCCATAAGAGCTTCACTCACTTGTCTGCACATCGGTTTTCCCAGTATGGCTCCCACGAGGTGTCTCCAGCAGCACAGCTTGGACTTCCTTAAAGCAGGCAGCTGGCTTCCAATGAGGAGGAAGGAAGCTGCCAGTTCTTAGAAGTCCTAGAACCTCACTTGGATACAGCAGGGCTTCCTGAGCCAGTGCAGATTCAGGAGAGTGGGAATAGCCTCTTCCTTTTGATGTGAACATCAGTCTGTGTTTAGAGGGAGGCCAGTGGTTGTTGGCAGCCCTTTAGGAGAGCAGCTACTACACAGACTCTCCCAGCACCCGGGGAACAAGCCTCCTGCCCCCAAGGGCATCTGGCAACACAGCAGCCCCCTCGTCCCCTCGCAGCCTTAGCCTCTGCCTTTCTGCAGCCCACCCGCTGCACCTTCATGATTTCAGCCCCAGTCCTCTGATCAAGCTGATTCTAAATCCCAGACCCAAAGAGGAGGCCCTGACTATTCAGAAGATAAGTATTCATCAGAGATATTGAAAACTTCCAATGCTTTTTTGCAGAGACAGACATACTGCTTGGACACTGTGTCTCATGCTGTTTTACTACTGCTCAGGCTCCCCATGGAACCACATGCCAGTCTGTGCAGTGAGGCCCTTCCTCCCAGGGGACTCTGGGAGGACTCTCCAGATGGCCAGATGGTCACATGGGCTCCCAGGCTCACTTGTTCGCTGCCCCTCCTGTCTGAGACCCCATTAGAGCGACAGTGAAATAATTTAAAAGATGGGACCCTTTAAAAAGTTTAAAAGCTAGGGAAGAGTGATTTCTCTGTTTTTGAACTCCGGGAGAGGCCAGGAGGCATAGAGAAGGGGCCGACTTCTCTTGGAGTCCTGGCAAGCTGGGGGTCCAGAGGCGTCCGCCCCGAGGAAGCAGGGGCACTAAGGGTGCCTTGGGTTGCCTAGGGCACAGCCTAAGGCAAGGAAAACCTTGAGTGCTCTGGTCCTTAGGAAGTCACCAAATTGGTGTGGGCTCACGCTTCTATTTTGAGTGTTAGCACCCCGCATTAAAGCCCTTCCCATTCTGTCATTGGGTGGCTCCAGGTCTACCAGCCAGACCCCATTGTTCCCTCTAAAGTCGCGACCCCTTGCAAGGCCCTCTTCTGTGTGGCTTATGTGTGGGAGCCCATTCGATCCCGCATCAGCCCTGTGAGGCCGGCGTAGGGCCACTCTCCTCATTTTGCAGATGGGGGGGCTCAGGCGCACAAATTGTAGTTGACTTGTCCAGGAGGTCATAACAGCTGGGGGCTGTGGTAGAGCCAGAATTGAGAACCTGGGTGGCCTGGTGTCAGTTTACACTCTCAGCTGCTTCTCTTTCTGTCTCCCCCGTCAAAGCAGAAGACACCCAAACAACCACTTTAATTCCCTGACACCTTAATTCCTATGGGTGAGACTACTCTCTGTGTGAAGGAGGCTGACAGAAACAGAAATAACTGTGCCTGGGGGAATGGGGGGTGACTGTGGTAATGGCAACTCCAAACACTTGAATTGAACCAGCATTCTGCAGGTTCAGGAAGACTGGGCCGTCCTTGTGAGAACACAGTTAGGGCCCTGCAGCCTCTGTATTGGCTTCTACAGCAGCAGTGCATGGAGATGCTTACTACAGAGGAGTCCATTTTGAGCAGTTGCTTATTACTTGGTTGTTTTTAAATTAAGCTTGTATATTAAACATGTATCAACTCTTTGCACTGAATAAAGTAGTATGTAAAAGTAACACATGTCTAAAAAAAAAGCAGTAACACATGTCTATCATTTCCACTGTAGAAATAACTGGTGCGGAACTGAACCCTCCCCCGGGAGGCCAAGGTAAAACTCAGGGACTAGGGAGGCTAGAGCATCAGATGGGAGGCAGCCTTGGCACGAATCAAAGAGGAGGACCTGAGCTGAACAACCAACCAGCTGGAATAAATGGGGAAGAACACAGCCCAGGAAATAGGGTCAGGCCCAGCCCTACTCCTGGCAAGGGAGGGGGAGGAGCTGCTACGTACATCTGATAAAAGAAGATGCTTTCCTACCCTCAGCCTTTTTAAGGGACCTCACAAGCCTTGGCTGTTGACTGAATCTGAATGCATTTTTCTGCCAGCCCTGTTTAATCAGTTTTTGGACTGCCCAAGAATTTGGGTATTAGAAGCACAATCTTAGACCTGAGAAAAGCCCAATTGGGTACATTAAAAAAAGTGAGCACATGGAAAGACTAGCATTTTCTTAACAAGTGCTGAGATCTCGTAGAAAGGCCTGGGTGCAGCTGGTTCGTAGCTTAAGGTCCAGCAAGTAGCACTTTTTGCTCCATTCTGTTTGACAGTTGGGCTCCTGCATGATCCTTAGTAAACATAATTGTTCAGAGGCCTCATTGTGGATTCTGATTGTTTGAATGTCGGTAGCTCTATTTCCATAGCGTGTATCGAGGTACAGAGAGAAGTACTTAATGAACACATTGTCTAGACCTTGTGACATTTTCTCCAGCTTAGCTGTGAAGAAACCAAGATATAGGGCAGGTTAATGGTAGCAGGGGAACTTGCTTGCTTTCTATATTATTTTTTAATTTA